GGTAAAATTTTAGAGAAGGAATGTCAATTTAGGTTTATACTTGGAACGAGAAATATTCTATCATTCGACGAACAAATAAATTTTCTGTTAAAATTTTAAAGAAGGAATGTCAACGATTTAGATTTAAGTGACGATATTTATATTTTTCTTTATATAAGTTCTAATCATACACTTTCGATTGAATGAACGAATGAATTATCATCAAGCTGATCAACTATCCGTGAATAATTATTATTTTCAAAATAGAGGGGAGAACGGTTCGCGTGAGTGTAATTCGCACAGCGAGAGACGTTAATTAACTGGTCTATCTCGTCCATTGCTAAGTGTTCTCAAGTGTTATGATTACGAACGTATTACCGACGCTACAATCGGTGGTTAATTAGCATCACGCGATAATAATGAAAGCGCTTAAATGCTGCGATGAATATTGATAAATCGTCACCCGTTTTCATTTTATCGAAATATTCGAGTACGAACAAACATTGGAAGAAGAAATATTTCTTCTCTAAATTATTTATAAAAATATTTATCAATCGGATATCATTGTGATTTAATTTGAAAAAAAAAAAAAAAAATTCTTTCGCAACCAGAATTAATTAATATACCGTGTAACGATTACATTACCATACGATAATAATCTTCTTGATACAGTTCGCGGTTAAATTAAGCGAAGCGTAAAAGAGCATCTATTTTGTTTGAGCGGAACGTATGATTATCGAGGCGCAAAGATAAGCGTGCATTGATTACACTCGAAGATAATCGAATCTAATTTTGTAATTTTGTAATTTAACGTGAAAGAATTCGAGGTTTAACAACGCTTGAAAATGATAATATCCAGGATACGAATATTTCTTACGTAAATATATATTTGTAAAATATCCTTAATAAGTCTATTTAAATGAATTATTTATATATAATTTCAAAATCAACAACCCTTCTCTCCCAATAAATAAACTCGATATTAACTTGATTTTAACGAGCAACTGTAATCAAAGATTCAAAGATTTACCGATTAAAAGAATCCGCTTATGTAGGAAAGATCCAATTAACTGTATCAATATTTTTTTTTTTTTTTTTTTTTT